TCTTACACGGCGCTCACATCGCCGATGCGAGGCGTATTTGACGTCTTGAACGAAGTATCAGTGAACTCTCTATTATGCTTACTGCTAGTGGTATGCATAGGCATCTTCGAGGTCAACCTGTGGTTCTTCGAACGGCCCGTCACTCGGCTCATAGACTGGTTCACCGCAGGCTTGCGAGCTTGGCCATCCCGTACCTGCACACACACACACACACACACACACACACACACACACACACACACACACACACACACACACACACACACACACACACACACACACACACAGACGAGCGTGAGGAGGCGCTGTTCACAGCAACGCCGAGTTTGCGAGCTTGGCCCTCTCCCGTACCGCAGCCGCGTGGGACGACGACTGCCGCTGGGAGCCGACGGCGAGCAGCTTCAAGTCGCAGGCCTTCATGTGGCGCGTGTGGCGCGTCACCGGCGCGCGCCCCCCTCGGGCCGGCGTCGGCTCTCTCCGCTCGACGCCGCAACGTCGCGACTGTTGCGACCTTAGGCATTGGCCCCGATGAGTGCCTCAAGCCTACATACGGCGGCTGCAGCGACCCGTGCGCGCGCCACGCCGCCCCGGGCGCGGGGCGATGCAGCACTGCCAAGCTGACGCCCGCTCGCCTGCGCCGCTCTAGGTGGGAGAGGGACGACACTCTGGCTGATGAGGAGGTGAACGGCGGCTCGCTGGGGACGCTCGGCGGCTTTGACAACCAGCGGCAGGGATGAGGCCCCCGGTAAGCGTCTTTTCTTTATGTAGCATTGGAGGTAGGTTAGGGCCAGCACCGCAGCGTGTGATGACCGTTGTATAGTGTGTACCATTTGGGCAAACGGCGCGCGATACGAAAAGGCGCAGGGCGAGGCGGATGGAGAGAAATAGGAGTACCGAAAAGGCACGAGTGGAGGAGGGTGGGTGGAGCTGGAGGGACCCTAGGTGCGCGGTGCGGACGACACGAGGGCGAGATGTCAGATGACGAGCGGCTTCGCAAAGAACGCTAGCTATATGGGAATGCGTCGTGTCTCGTGAAGGCTGGATTGACAAGCATACGAACAAACAATAGAGGCGACGGGAGGAGCCGGCAAAGTGCTTAAGTGGATGCAGTGGACGTGCCCCCCCCCCCCCTCTCTCTCACACACACACACACAAATAACGGGCTCCAGGCCCCAATTGATGTGTGAGTGTTAGAGTTGTTTGGTATTGCTTAAATACCTCTCTCTCTCTCTCACAACCCAAAGAAAGAGCACTCCAGCTGCATAGCGATGTAGGTTCGAGATGTAGGTGAGAGGTAAGGTAGCATGTCCCGCCCACACACAAATGCACACACGCGCGCCACCGTAGTGACACAAGAGCACTTGGAGCACTTGGAGTGCAAAAGAAAGAAGGAAAGTGAAAACAGACAACCCACGGGAGGGATGGGAGGACGGCACGCCGCCACCACACAGGGATTTTAAGGAGAGGAGTGTGGTGCTAGCCGTCGCCCACCCTTGGGAGTCTGCCTCTTCCTATCTCTCTTCGCAGTCCCTCGCCGATTCTCGCTGCAACCTTCATGCCACCTCGCGGTCGTCCCACTCTCGTCGTTCTCTCTCCTGTCGCTTCCTCCTCTGTCGCGTCGCTCTCATCTGCCTCGTTCTGCGACGACGACGCCCGCCTGCCGATCCCTTGCTCTCGCGGCTTCTCCCGCCTTCCGGCGCAACTCCGCTCTCCTCGCAGCACTTGGAGCACTTGGAGTGCAGTCGGCAGCCTCACATCCAGGGCCGGGGAGCTAAGCAGCGCACCCAGCGGGCCAGATGATTGGCATCGGGTTACGGGCTAGAGAGCCCTAGCCCTGAGGGCGGCCCTCCCCGGGGGGTCGGGCTGCT